TGTCCCAGGACCCAGCCCACACAAACACTGAAGAGTGCTACAAACTTGCCTGGCCTGGCCCAACCCGGCTCCAGTCCTTAAAATCCCCAAAGGGAGCCGCCCCTTAGTAGTGGAGTTCCCTAAGTTCCCCTACCGGGCCTGAATCTCACACACGCCAGTAGGTGCAGTGGCCCTGTCTGGCAAGGTCTGGCCTCAGTTCTGGCCCTTATATATACTAACGGGTGCTGCTGCTTGGCCTGCCTGGCTTCCCCCCAGTTCCAGTTCTCACAAGTGTCAGGTGGGTTCCTATAGGTGAGTTCTGCGGTGCAGCCTGGCTGAGCCCATCGCCTTCTCCAGCTCGCCACATAATACAGCACGTGCTGTGGCCCCGCGGCATCGTGCTCAGAAGTCCCCCATAGAATCTGCCTCCAGTCCTGGTTCTCTCGCAGCACAGCCTGACATGGCCTGTTCCAACACTCCTGGGCAGATAATGTGGCCTTGCCCAGCCAGGCATGCACCTCCAGCCCCAACTTTTGCATATTCAAGCAGGCAGCTGGTAGTGCAATTTAGCCCAGCCCTGGTCACCCACTTGGGCAGGTGCCTTGGCCAGACCCAATGCAGTGGCCTGGTCTGTGGAAAACCCCAAAAATCATTCCTTCTTTGTGAAATGTGCCCTCAGCTACACCTTCTGCAATACGTCCCCAAATCCCGTCCCCAGGCACCCTGCAGCACCTGCTGCTCCCCCCACCACTGCCTGGGGCCACGGTGGTGTGTTCCCTGCATCCCAACTTATGTTAAACACACACACACACACACACACACACAGAGGGTAGGGTGTGGAGAGAGAGAATAATAAGGATAAGTAATTTTGCTGGTATATTAATATAGTTAACACAAATTTGGCATTAACTGGGCCAATTGCCTGCCAGCTACTGGCTACGTTTCTCCCAGCACTGTGACACTTGCCTAAGTGCAAAGTAACCTAGGCAGTTCCCTAAAGGTAACATCAAAATTAGCTTAACTTTTCTTTCTACTTTTCCGCAAGTTGCAAGTACATGCACACTCTTCCAGGGCCCACCTCTTGGGGCTTGGACCCATGGCTTCTGCCCTTCTTTGTCCCAGCATTGCATCACCTCCTATCCAGATAAGCCCCTGGTTCTGCCTCCCTCTGCCCGCCAAAGAAACATCTCCTAATGCATTCAGACACTGGGAGTCTCTATCTCCTTGGAAGAGCATAGCAAGCGTGCATTTTTTTTAAGATTTATTTTTATTATTTTTATTATTTTTATTGGAAAGGCAGATATACAGAGAGGAGAGACAGAGAGGAAGATCTTCCGTCCGGTGATTCACTCCCCAAGCGGCTGCAACGGATGATGCTATGCCGATCCGAAGCCAGGAGCCTCTTCCGGGTCTCCCACGCGGGTGCAGGGTCCCAAAGCTTTGGGCTGTCCTCGACTGCTTTCCCGGGCCACAGGCAGGGAGCTGGAAAGGAAGCGGGGCTGCCGGGATTGAACCGGCGCCCATATGGGATCCCGAGCGTGCAAGGCGAGGACCTTAACCACTGCGCCACCGCGCCGGGCCCAACAAGCGTGCATTTTCAAAATTCTATGCTAAAAGTCGCTGGCTTTCTTGATTTTTACTTGCTGCACTGACTAAGAGGCAAAAAGGCATGTGTCTTGCGTGTGTACTAGGCTGACATGGAGCACTGCTGCCCCCTGGTGGAAGGTGGCCCTACCCACGCCTAGACCAGATTTTCTTTTATCTTATTATTTTTTAATTGTTATTTTTATTTCCCATGATTCAGTTTTGTAGGTATAGAGGTTCTCCCTTCTCCTTCCCCTCCCTTCTTTCCCATTTAGCCCTCCTACCATTTCCGCCATATTACCACTGTAGTATAGTCCTTCAGTAACAGTTGCAGGTTTTTTGTTTTTTAATTTTTTTCTATTTTTTATTTTTTCATAAAGATTTACTTATTTTTATTGGAAAGGCAGATATACAGAGAGGAACAGAGACACAGAGGAAGATCTTCCATCTGATGGTTCACTCCCCAAGCGGCCGCAATGGCTGGAGCTGAGCCAATCCAAAGCCAGGAGCCAGGAGCTTCTTCCGGGTCTCCCACGCGGGTGCAGGGTCCCAAGGCTTTGGGCCGTCCTCGTCTGCTTTCCCAGGCCACAAGCAGAGAGCTGGATGGGAAACAGGTCTGCCGGGATAAGAACCGGCGACCATATGGGATCCTGGCACGTGCAAGGCGAGGACTTTAACCACCACGCTATGGCGCCGGGCCCAACAGTTGCAGGTTTAACAGTCTTCACACTCACAGAATGAAGTCAGTGGCATCCAACAGCATCCATCAGAGCTGGCATCCTGCTCTGATGACATCACACTGAAGGTAAAGTCAGTGTTGAAAAGACGGGCTGTTGGGCCTGGCGGCGTGGCCTCGTGGCTAAGGTCCTCGCCTTGAATGAGCCAGGATCCCATATGGTCGCCCGTTCTTATTATCCCGGCAGCTCCACTTCCTCTCTATCTCTCCTCCTCTCTCTATATCTGACTTTGCAATAAAGATAAAATTAAAAAACCAAAACAACAACAACAAAAAACCTATATAAAAAATAAAAGCGGGGCTGTTTCATTGTAGATAAGCCAAGGTGTTCACGGGGAGTCTCGTCTTCCCTGTTCCTTCCAGTGATTGTTTTTTTAATGAGTGCCGGTCCTTCTTCAATCCTCTCCTCTCTTGTTAACGAGCCCCGATGAGCTCTCCTTCGGTGAGCTTTCCCGTGGAGCCGTGGGTCCTGCCGGGAGTCCCCATCTTCCTAGGGACCTGCCGGTCTAATCCCCGTAGGTTTGCCCCACCGCCCAGGGCAGTCACCTGACGACTTGCACCTGCCTCGTGAGCATCCTCGGCCAGCCAGGTCACAGGTGCTTGCGACACGAATGACACAGATCCAGTCCTACGTGATAAGAATGTGCTCTTAGGCCGTGAGCTGTCCCATGCTCAAGTGAGGTCCCACGGGACCTGCCAGCAGGCACCCAACTCCAACGCCCTGTTAGCAAGGTGAGGATCCAGTCCAGGTCCTGTATATTACCTTGATCACTGCAGGTGAGTTAGCAGCCCACCTCAAGATACTGGTACTGGGCCTGGCGCGATAGCATAGGGCTTATATAAGTCCTCGCCTTGAGCGCACTGGGGATCCCATAGGGACGCTGGTTCTTATCCCGGCGGCCCCCCTTCCCATCCAGCTCCCTGCTTGTGGCCTGGGAAAGCAGTTGAGGACGGCCCAAAGCCTTGGGACCCTGCACCTGCGTGAGAGACCTGGTTCCTGGCTTCAGATCAGCTCAGCTCTGGCCATTGTGGTCACGTAGGGAGTGAATCATTGGATGGAAGATCTTCCTCTCGATCTCTCCTCCTCTCTGTATATCCGCCTTTCCAATAAAAATAAATCTTTAAAAAAAAATGTATTTTGGTGCAGAGTTGAGCAATTGCCTGTGATACTGGCTTCTCAGAACACTGGTTTAAACCCTGCCGCTACACTTCCAATATAGCTTCCTGCTGATGCACCTGCTAAGGCAGGTGCCCAAGTGCTTGAAGCCCTATCACCCCTAGGGAAGGGTGGACGGAGTTGCTGGACCCTGCGTTCCAACCGGCCCAGACCCATGATGGCCATTGGGAAATAAACTAATGGATAAAATCCATCAGTCAATCAATTCTCTCTCTCTCTCTCTCTCTCTCTCTCTCTCTCTCTCTCTCTGTCCCTCCCTCTCTGGTTTTCCAAAAGTCAATCAACACCTTTAAACATTTCAGAATGCACACATAATCAATTTCTCTCCTGTCTTCTGCGTGCTGCATCCGAGCCCACCCTCCGACTGTGGGACATTGAACAAGGCACCTGTGTCCACACAGCCATCAAACACACCTGGAACCATATGTCTACAGCGTAGCTTTTAACGCTGCTGAGAAATGTCCTCTGACGATTCCATGCGTATCTGGAACACTCGGTAAATTTCTGACCCTGTGGCCTGTCCTATAAACCTGTCCCTGTTATCCACCCTCTGGATAGAAAGGTTGGAATTGGGCGGGCCGTTCCTAAGGATCCTTCTAATGGAAGGGAAGGTGATGAAATCGATGGAGTCACTCAAAATCACCCAGGAGTCAGTTTGAGTGGCTTCAGGATGGATTCAGAAACCTCCTCTTCCCAAGGGCTTCGGCTACTTGTGTACCTTTGGCTCGGCTGACTTTCTCAAGTTCAGTCCCCCTTCAACAGCCATTCAGACTCATCAAGGACAGGTGGCGGGTTCTAGGGTTCTAGGCTTAGATTGGTCTCTGCCACCCTCATCCAGTCAGAGTCAGCTAGGGGCAGGGAAAAAGCCAGGGTTCTCATTAAACCCTTCACTCACTCAGAGACAGCAGCGAGAAAAGGGGGAGAAAGTGTGCCCTCAGTGCAACGACACCTCCCTCACCCGGTCGGAGGCAGTCAGGGGTGGGGAAGCAGGCCAAGTGTGGGGACAGAGGCGCGGTTCACAGCACAGACTGGCAGCTCCATCGTAAGGCACACAGACGGGTGTCCCTGTGACACCCGGTTCATCCTGATGGTTCCCTGCCTTGCTGCTGTTTGGTATCCTTGATACCTCAATCCAGTAGCACCTGCTAGATGCGTGTGCGGTTTGTAGAGAATCCGTGGTGGGCTACGTTCAGTCACAACCCATTTATTTGAACTTTTCCCTGGGGACTTGTATCGTGTCTGCAACTAGAACATCAGAAAAGCTCCCAGTAGTAATAAGAATCTGGAGAAGTGCCTGAGTGACCTGGAAGGTTCCATCTTGTTTCCCAGCACAAGCTCATGGACCATTGATCCTCTCCTAAAAAGGGTCCTTGGGAAGCAGTTTTGATGACATGAGTCCTTGGCAGCACAGGGATAGCGCAAGAACATGATTCTCAAACAAACCCAAAAAATCACAGTCTAAGGAAATGGATAACCTAAGGAACCCAGGGTCTGGACATTTTCTGCAACCTTTTGCCAGTCTCTCTATGACATCAGTAGAGTCGAGTCAGCCTCATTTTCATGGCGAGACCCACTGGTAGTATGGATTTCAAGAGTGCTGCCATCGGAACCTGGAGAGGAACAAGAAAAAAATCAGTATGGGATCTGTCCGAAGAGGTTCCGCCTAAGCCTCAGAGAATGCTGCCATGGGAACCCATGCTTTCTGCATGTTAGTACCTCATCCCAAAAGAAATCAACCCTACCCAGTCATCTTGGGCAGGTGATGTATGAATATAAAGGGTCTGCAAAAACTTCATGAAACTGAGAATTTGGAAGTCACTGCATGAATTTCAAAAGATATTCTGCACTGACAACAACTTCTTTTTAAATTCTATTCCTTCATGAGCTTTTCTGAAGGATCCCTGATCATGCCTGGTATGATTTTTTTTTGCCAGACTGAGTTCCTGTTCTGGTCAAAGCTGATTTGCGAGCAGGTGCTTAGTAATCCCTGACTTGCTTAGAATCCTTGTTCTTACTGAAGTATCCTATATATGATTCGGTGCTTTTCTGGAGATTTTCCAGAAGTTTCTGGAATTTTCAGGAGCAAATCACAGGTAATGGCTCAGGTAGTTGGGTCTCTGCCACCCATGGGGAGACCCAGATTGAGAACCTTAGCCACTAGCGTCAGCCTGGGCTAACCCCGGTTCCTGTGGGCATTTGGAAGGCAAAAGCAATGGCTGCGAGCGGATGCTCTCCCGCTCTCTTCTCTCTCCCTTTCAAATTATTTTAAAAGAAAAACTTCAACTTCGGCCGTAATGAGAGTGACAAATATCAGCGTGTCTATACCCACATTTGCTGCACGTGGAGATGTCTTTTTTATTTCGCATCCAGGAAAGCTCAAGCATGAAGGAGTTTTAAGTTTATGTGGGATGAATTCCTCCTGCCTTTTGCTTGACCATTATCTTCCTTCAGCTTGCTGGTTTGTTTGCTTAAACAATTACCCCCCCTTTCCTCGTCCTCTTTCCAGAATGTTGAATGACTTACAAAAGGGAGATATTTCAAATAAAGGGGGGGAAATGTGGAAAAGCTTCGGTAGGGTCAAGATCAACACTATTGCCATCATAAAAGTAACTCTGGCAACACGGATGTTCACACATCACGTGCTACTCCGGGTTTTCTCACAATTCACTCCTACACGTCAGTAACTAACTGGGTGGAGTATTCTATAATCGGTCCTTTATTCTCTCTGCGTGCCATGAAAATAAAGGGTCAATGAATAAAGGATTTGCCTCTCAGTTGCCTTGGAGAAGGCCTGAAACTCCTAAAGGCAGCCATGCCACACCCAGTCCACCTGCAGTCGCTCCAGGACTAATGGACAACAGAAGAAATCTCTTGGCATGGAGACCAGGCACCTGCTTGGAAGATTCCTAAAACGCTTGCTCCATAGTAAGTCATTGTTCTTCTGGAGAGGCTTGGGATATTGCTAAAAGATTTGAGTCTCGCTGTGCAGGAGGGCATACCCAGGAGAACTTCAGGGCGAGTTCTGTGGTTCTTTGCTAAGAAAAATCTTGGCCAAGGAGTCACATGGTGCCTTGTGACCAAGCTCTGGGCAGAATACCCACCAGCATGACCTCATGCTTTGTGGTATGCCTTGGATCTTGTGACTTTGAAGGTTTCTTGATCCTCTCATCCCTTCCTGTGGCTCTACAGAGTGGGATGTTTATACACAAGAGCTTTATGATGCCTGTAACTTCATGGTCCCTAGGGGCCATCCTCCCACCTCCTGCCCTTCTAATGAGCCTGACAAGTCCAAAGGGGTTTCTTGGGAGTCTCTCGGTCCACATGAATACCAGATTTCAATGTGTCTGACATGTCACCTGCAACTGCCTTTCACGGATCCTTTGAAAACCCAGAACCTGAATCCTTAAGCAGCAGACATGCAGCATGGGCCCTGAAAACCACATAGCACCTGATCCTGACTGCATCTGCAAGTATTAAGCTGGATCTGGCCTGCCTGTCCAAGTCCCTGGGCTGTGTTGTCTCCTGCAACTCTCCCACCAGCTGTAATATAGGAGACCAGCAGGTGTTTCTCTGATGGAGTGACAAAGTAACCAAGATCCCCAAAACTGCAAAGCTGATTTTCTGCAGGGAATTTGGGCTCATTGGCTCCAGTGTTCTGCTCACACCATGCATGTGATCCACGAGTATTCCCTATTGGTGAAGTACGGGAATCCACGCTAGCTGTCATCACTATCTGTTTTCAGCCCTAAGCTCACCACGGACAACATGGGCTGCTCCAGCAAGGGCTTCCCAGAGTGCTCTGCGGCTCTGCAGGAGACGTAGCCTGGCCAGGGGGTCTTACCTGCAGACAGCATGCTCAGGGCCTCATCCGAAGTGTATCCGCCCACACACACCACCTTCCCGGAGGCAGGATTTGCACAGGGCACACGGGAGCCCACCGCAGATGGGTAGGCACCCTCGGCCACAGAGGCTGTGATGGACTCCCATTGAATCTCCTTCCTCGCAGACCGAAAACCCAGGCTGCAGCCTGTCCAGCCGTAGAAGGCCAGGGACAAGAGAAAGCCTTGCACTGGGTTCAGCATCCCCTGCAAAGACACAGGGCAATCAGAGGGTCTCCTGGAAGAGATTGGTTAGCTGCTTTGGGTCAAAACAAAGGAAGGCCACGGTAGACACTATTCCTTCAAAAGGAGCCTCAAAAGAGAGGGGCTCAAGAGAGTGGAAAGGAGGGAGGCAGAGCAGACAAGGGGGAGAGGGAGAAAGAGGGGACAGAAAGAAGGAAAGAAGGAGGAAGGGAGAAGGTAGCAGGGACGAGGCATGAACCACACAAGAGGCACGCTTCTGCCTTGCCACTCCTCCCCCTGGCACTGCCACTCTGTTCCCAATTGACATAGCAGAGTTGTATCCATTTTCTATTCAAATTACTCCCAACTGTGACTTAAACTCCCTAGCTGGTACGCCAAGGCCAGAGGGAGATGGCCCAGAGGCCTGTTCAACTCATTCCATGCTTAAATAGCAATACGTGGTACTTCTAAATGGGTTTTTCTCCTCGTTTTCTCAAAAAACAAAAGTTTTAAATCTAGATGGACCCACCATCATAAACCATGTGGTTTTGGCTGCGTTTCTGATGCGACTGAAGGAGCCTTCATCCAACTCAGGTTGCATTTCAAGATAGAATAAAAGGCTTTCGTTGATGATATTAGACAGCCAACTGTTGGAAAGAAAATGATGCAGGGGTGAAGAGAACATGAATTTGGTCAGTCAGTGGGGTCTGCAATGGCAAACTGAGCATATTGCTAGTGGGAGACCATCTATGTCTCTCCCAGGAGGGTGCCCCAAACAACCCTGCTAGATCAGATGAATTAATAACCCCCCCAGACGCTTCCCCTGTCCTGCCAAGTATACATTGGCCACACCGCGGGCTGTTCTGATTTCAATATTTTCTGCCTCGGTTACAGGATTATTTTTAAAGCATCTGCCTGAAATTTTGGGGCGCAAGAGACCAGAGGTAAGGCATGTGAATAGAGGTGGATCGCTCTGCTTGTCCGCTCTCCTCCCTCAGCTGCATCTTCACACAGAAGGCGTGGAACGTCTCTCTCTCTCTCTCTCTCTCTCTCTCTCTCTCTCTCTGTGCATCTCCTTCTCTGCCTTTCAACTAAATAAAATTTGCTTTAAGAAAAAAGAGTGAAGCAAAATGCCAGACTGGAAAAGCATGGATGGCTGCTGGTACTTGGTGCAGCCAAGTACCACTCGGGTGCTCACATCCTATGGCAAGCTTCACACATCCAGGCTGCTCTGCTTCTCATCCAGCTTCCTGCTAACAGGTTTCCTGGTGGGAAACAGACAAAGGCTCGAGGAAGCGGGTCTCCCACCCTCAAAGGGGAGACTGGGGTAGAGTTGGTAGCCAGGTGCCAGCTTCAGCCCTGCCCAATCCTGCCTCTTGCAGATATTTGGGGAGGAAGCTAGCAGATAGAAGATCTTCCTGTCTCTCTCTCTCTCTCTGCCTTTCAACTAAAAATGGGGGGAGAGATTAAAAAGCAATCACAACTCGTACTTAAAATTGGAACTTGTGGCTCATGCTTGCAAGAGGAAAACAGAAGTTGTTGGCTCGTCCCATCTCACTAGGGAAAAACAAAAACAAAAAAAAAGAAAGAAAGAAAAAAGAAAAATTACCAAACGACGAAAACTAGCATGATTTTGAAAAACCGTATCTTGATCATGGCTCCCATCCGTCTCTCGGTCTCCGTATAAACACCTTGTCTTCCTTTTAGCAAAGAGGCCACTGTAAAGAAAGAGGACACACACACACACACACACAATGTTTACGGCCTGCATTGACAACACATCTGAGAAGGAAGCCAATGTGCATTACCCTTCATTCATTCATTCGCAAGGCAGACAGTTCCTTCCTCAAATGCTGCAGCAGGCACTGATGCCAGAAAACCAAGGATTCAATCCAGATACCCCATCTGAGTGGCAGAACCCGAGCTCCTTCAGGCCCCTCTGCCGCCTTAGCAGGAAGTTGATATTCCTAACAAGCATCTCACCCACAAGGCCAAAGTTGGTCCTAGGAATTGTATTTTTTAAAGGTTTAGTTGTCTCTGGGGCCCAGTGCAGTAGCCTACTGGGTAAAGTCCTTGCCTTGCATTCCCCAGGATCCCATATGGGCACCAATTCATATCTCGGCTGCTCCACTTCCCTTCCAGCTCCTTCCTTGTGACCTGGGAAAGCAGTTGAGGATGGCTCAAAGCCCTGGGACCCTGCACCCGCATGTGGGAGACCCAGGTGGGAGACCCAGAAGAAGCTCCTGGCTCCTGGCTTCAGATTGGCTCAGCTCCAGCCATTGCAGTCACTTGGGGAGTGAACCATCGGATGGAAGATCTTCCTCTCTGTCTCTCCTCCTCTCTGCCGTCCAATAAAAATAAATAAATCTTTTTTTTATACGATCCTCATCAGCATGCACACTTGTATAAACAGTGCTATGATTGGATGTTTTACATGTGGTTTTTTTTTAAAGATTTATTTATTTTTATTACAAAGTCAGATATACAGAGAGGAGGAGAGACAGAGAGGAAGATCTTCCGTCCCATGATTCACTCCCCAAGTGAGCACAACGGCCGATGCTATGCCGATCCGAAGCCAGGATCCAGGAACTTCTCCAGAGTATCCCACACGGGTGCAGGGTCCCAAAGCTCTGGGCCTTCCTTGACTGCTTTCCCAGGCCACAAGCAGGGAGCTGGATGGGAAGTAGAGCTACCGGGATTAGAACCGGCACCTGTATGGGACCCGGGGGGCGTTCAAGGCGAGGACTTTAGCCACTAGGCCACACCGCCCGGGGCCCAGATCTTTTAAAATAAATAAATAAATCTGCCTCTGGAGGAAGGTGAAGGAGATGAGTTACATTGGATAATTCCAGAAAAATGGCATGTGTCCTTCCTGAGCCTGAGGCCGGGGGCTGCGTCCCCGTGGCCACGTACGAGGAGCGCTTTCCGGTTACTCACCTGCACTCACCGTCTTCCCGAAAAGAACGGGGTTCGCCACGAGGACGAGCAGCAGCGGCAAGTACGTGGTGAGGTAGTGGGGGATGGTGTGCTCCAGACCCCGCTCACATCTGGAGGAAGAAAACAAAGTCCTTCCTCTTGCAGAAAAGCTCAACTCAAACCTGCCTCAATCCACCAATCCACCTCCGACTGCACGAAACAAATACGACTTATTTCTCACATCGGCCTCGAGCAATAACTCGCAAGCAAATAAGGGAAATGAATCAGGCTCTTGTCTCCTAGAGTCCCTACTGAGCAAACCTAGCAAAGGAGAAGAAGTTTCGAGAGATTTGATTTCCCCCTACTGGGTCCCTTCTAGGAAAAAGAAATAAAACACAGGCAAAGATACTTGAGTAACCCACGTGGTTCTGAGTGCCTGTCCCATGGCGTTGGCCAGAGACAAGAAGATCGGGTCCCTCTCCTTGAGCAACTTAAAAGGATTTCTCTTGGTGGATCAAAGGAGCCACGTATCACCGTGGCGCATGAGGGAGAGCCGAACACACATTAGCAGGGAAGGAACTGCATGAAGTGGGAGAAAAAAACACGGCGTGGAGGACATGCGCATTGAAGGCAGGGGAGGGAGACCAGCTCAGAAACCACGAGAGGAGAAGGGAGAAAAGCAGATGCGAGGGAGGTCCCTGTGGCCACTGTGGCCTAGCGGCTAAGGTCCTCACCTTGAACGCGCCAGGATCCACCCCCCCGCCCCCATAGGCGCCGGTTCTAATCCCGGCAGCTCCACTTCCCATCCAGCTCCCTGCTTGTGGCCTGGGAAAGCAGTCCAGGACGGCCCAAAGCTTTGGGACCCTGCACCCGCATGTGGGAGACCTAGAAGAAGTTCCTGGATCCTGGCTTCGGATCGGCATAGCATCGGCCAATGATTCACTCCCCAAGTGAGCACAACGGCCGGTACTGTGCCGATCCAAAGCCAGGAACCAGGAACTTCTTCCGGGTATCCCACACGGGTGCAGGGTCCCAAAGCTTTGGGTTAGGGTTAGGCCACACTGCTGGGCCCAAAAATAAATAAATCTTTAAAAAAAAAAAAAAAAAACACTACAACAGAAGTGCTCCTAATGGTCATGGTGCAGTCTGACCAGAAGAAGAAAAACAGCAAAGAATCGGTAAGGAAAAATGCAACCCCCACCTCCACTGGCCCTGGGATGGATGATCCCATCACTTGTTGTTTTTGTTTTTGGCGCCTTCATCTTCAGCCGGGATGCTACAGTACGGTCCTCTGAGATTGCAAGAAGGAAAAAAAAAAAAGCAGAGAAGAGAAGCAGTTCCGATGCAAACACAGAGAGTAAACGACACAAGAGACAAGTCTGGGAGTTGGAAGGATGCCAGGGGCCTGGGGTCAAGGCGGGGGGTGACGGGCAGAGGGGCGTGAAGAGACGAGGAAGGACGGTTAAAGGTGGTGACCTTCTGAAAGCCACGGAGCACTTCCGTGGCTCCATCACCTTCTCTGAGCTAACCACTCCACTTTGACACTGTAGCGTGACTGCAGCCGCAGATGGATGGTCCATCAACAGATGGGATGTGGCTGTTTTCTAATGAATTGTTGAATGAATTGTGGAAGAGCAGATTTGTCCAGGAGATTGTGGTACACTGGTTCCTGATCTACACAGCCCCAAAATCAAGACTGTCTCTGTTTGCCAGTGTCCAGGGAGAGCTTCGGATACGAGAGCGGCTTTAAAGGAGATCACGTAGCATGGAAGTCACACAGAAGTTTATTTGGGGGCAACACATTTTGAAATCTGTGTGTTCAAGTTCACCTTCCTGATGGGACTGCAAGCCGACAGAGATGGGATTGTGCATTTGATAGAAGGCCTGGGAAATTTCACAAACATGTCTCTCTTTCTGTACTTGGCGTAGATGAGCAGGGGTGGGTCAGGGGTAGGGGAAAGGCTTGGCAGGTTGAACTCATCTGCTCTTCAAGCAGTGGCTTTGGAAGAATCAAATTGAAAGAAGCTGCACGGAGGGAGAAATACTAAAATCTGAGATTTTACTTGTATGTTCAGGCATGCAAATGAGCGAGGCCAAATCAGGGAAGATGATTCAGATATGCAAAGCATCATGGCAAGTGCAGCGGCACATGGCCTCAAGATCATGACCTGACCTCCAGCCACACACCCTATCAGGCTGCCATTCATCTACTACCAGACAGCACACATGTGGGAGGAGCGATGTTGTGGTACAGTGGGTAAAGCCACTGCCTGGGACATCAGCATCCCATCATGAGCACCAGTTCGAGTCCTGGCCGCTCCACTTCAATCCAACTCCGTAATAACATGGGAAAGCAGTGGCTGGTGGCCCAAGTCTGTGGGAAACCCAGAGGGAGTTTTAGGCTCTTGGTGTCAGGCACTGTGGCTGGGGAGCTGAGGAAGCTGGGTCACCTGAGGCTACTGGGAGGCCTGGCTTACCTGGACACAGATGGATAGTACAGCATCAGCGCTCCTTCCACGCACAGCAAGGCAGCCAGGCCCCACGCCATGAGGTGGTAGAGCAGAATGGTGCTAGGAGAGAAAGGGCACAGAACAACCTCAGCTTAGAGCAGAGCTTGGTGTTATCATGGCTCTTTCTGAGTTGATGTGAAACTCACTCAGGATCAATGTGTCTGCACACAAGTCCATCACCACTGCCTTCACCCTAAACCCAAAGCCACTGCCCACTCCCAGTCTCTGCAATCCACCGACCCACACTGCTTTTATGGATTTGGTTCATGCTGGGCACCTCATGCAAATGGAATCACATATACACGGCCTCTTGTCTCTCTCTCTCTCTGCCTTTCAGGGAGCAAATAAAAAAATGGTGGAAGGCGAGGAGAGTCGGCAGAAAAGGAGGGGAAGGGACAATGTTTAGTTGCATCTGGTTTTTCTGCTGTCCCCATTCATCACTGAACTTATCTCTGTATGCAAGAACTGTGAACGCCCAGTCCAAGCCAGGAAAGATGCCCTTCTGGAACCCGGCTACCACTTGTTCTACCAGCAGAATTAACCCTGCTCCTCACACTCTGCCGTCAGAATTCTTGGGCAATCTCTTTTTCATTCTCTTTTGCACTGACATCTGCCCATCCTTAAGGCTTCAAGGCTTCCAGGTCTCCAACACTGTGGCATAGTAGGTTAGCCTCACCCTGTGGTGCCAGCATTCTATAGGGTTGCCAGTTTTGAGTCCTGGCTGTTCCACTTCTGATTTAGCTCCCTGCTCATGGCCTGAGAAAGCAGCAGAAAATGACTCAATTCCTTGAGCCCTTGAACCCATGTGGGAGACCCAGAAGATGTTCCTGACTCCTAGCTTTGCAGTAGCGCAGCTCTGGCAGTTGTGGTCTTTTGGAGAGTGAATCAGTGGATATCTCTCTGTCTCTCCTGCTCTTTATATAAATCTTTATTTTAAAAGTATTATTTTAAAGGCAGAGTCCCAGAGAGAAGTGGAAAGAGGAGAAGAGGAAGAAGGGGAAAGTGAAAGAAGAGGGGAAGATGAGGGAGTCAGAGACAGCTTCCACCTACTGATTCACGAACCAAACAGCCACAACAGTTAGGGCTGATACAGAACAGGAGCTTCAAACAGGTCTCCCACGTGGGAGCATGGGACCAAGCACAAGGGCAATGTTTGCTGCTCTCCCAGGTGCATTACCAGGAAGCCCCACCAAAGAAGTGTAGAATAGAATAGACTCAAGATGGTGACATAGGTAAGGACATGTTTCAACAGACATAGAAACATTATCCAGTGCGAAGCAGAGAGGGCACGTTCCCGGAAATGGGAGAGGACAGAACAACAGCAGAGGGGCACCTGGAGACTGACAGACACAGGAAAGCAGCGGACACAACGGTGTGGTGTTGCAGTGACTGATACCCCAGTATCATTCAGCAAGCAGCGATCTGAACTCCACCTGCAGCTGGAACTCCACCAGCAACAAGGTGGGAAGGGACGTCTACCGGGAGCTCAGGAGGTGAACCCAAAGAACTGCCCGACCTGCTGGTTTGTTTGATTTGATCAGGAGCAGAGACAGAGGAGGTCCCAGATGGGCAGTGCAGGAACAGTGTGGATTTCACAGCCCAGTCTGCCCTCTAGAGCTGTATCGGGCTCCATTTTGTATAAGGATGAAAAGGCTAAGGGGCAGTACTGCAGGTGCCCTGAGCTGGGAGTGAACTCATTTCTGGCTCTGTGAACTGCAACAATGTGGAATTCTACAGGTTCTACCCAAGACAGGTACAAGCAGCCCTCAGACCTGGCGGCCAGCAGATCCAGAACGCTAGCAGAGGCACGCCAGGCACTAGGTTCTACAGTGTGGAAAAACATTAGGATAGCAGGACAAGTGAGCTGCGCATGCGTTGAGCTGGGAGCGCATTCACTGAGCTCAGTATATTGCACTGGTTCCACAGGGAAAATAATATCAACTTTGGCATCCTACAGGTCAAAACAGGTCTGTGTAGCCCTCAGACTTAACAGCTAACAGGTTCTGGCAAGACAGCACCATCCACAAACGTAGCTATATAGGACACCTGATGTCTCCCTAATCCTGGGCACTGCTTGAACCGGAAATGGGAGGAAGGATGTACAGACAACAGTGCAGCCTCAGCACAGTATCACAGGAGATGGAGAGTGGTGAGCCAGGAGCTGGGGCTGCAGAGACCATGATAGAAATCTGACATGAGAATCCAGACCTGAAACTTGCTGGAGGGAGTGGCACAAGTCACCACAAACAAAGAACCGTGTATCAACTGCAATAAGTAAAATCCAACTGTAGACCTCTGGATGACACAACTTAGAAAACTGCCCCAAGGAGAAGATTCTGCTAACCAGAAGTGCAATGACCAAGGGCAAAAGAAGAGACAGAGGCACAATGAATGTTACTGAAGACTCTTCTGCAAAGGAGCAAAGGCCTATGCCAACCTCAGAGTTAACTAGGGAGACATCGACAAAATGGGGGATACAGAACACAAAACATTTGTTATAATGTTTCTTATCAACAACCAGAAGCATATAAAGCAGGAATTCAAGGAATTTAAGGAATATGTTACACAGGAAATGAATCAAATAGAAGCTGATACATTAGAAATGAAGAATACAGTGGAGCAAATTAAAAGTACAATGGAGAGTCTCTAAAATAGAATAAAGGAAGCAGAAGAAAGAATCTCAGAATTGGAAGATGTTTCTGTCACCAGAGGGAAACAAACAAAAAGATACAAGTAGAGCTGGATCAGGCCAAAAAAAAGTATTCAAGAATTGAAAGACACTATTAAGAGGCCAAATATAAGAGTTATGGGAGTCCCAGAAGATGCAGAAAGAAAAACTGAGATAAAAGTGCATTCGATGAAATAATAAGGGAAAATTTCCCTAATCTGGGGAAAGAATTGGGAAACAAGATCCAGGAGGGGCACAGAACTCCCAACAGGCTTGAACAAAAGCGATCTTCACCAAGACACATGATCATCAAGTTCTCTTCAATCGAACATAAGGAAAAGATCCTTCAATGTGCACGTGAAAAAAAAATCCACTGACATATAAAGGAATGAGAATTAAACTCACAGGAGACCTCTCACAGGAAACTCTACAGGCAAGAAGAGAATGGAGCGACATATTCCAGAATTTAAAAGCAAAAAATTGATGGCCTAGGATAACATACCCAGCAAAACTTTCTTTTTTCTTTGAAAATGAAACAAACTTCTTCCATAGCAAAGAAAAGCTAAAATAATATGCCTCTTCCAAACCTGCCTTACAAAGGATACTTAAAGATGTTCTCTTGACAGAGAAGAGGAATAGCGCCCACCAAAACCAAAGGCAAACAGGAAGAACATCCCAGTAAAATAACAGAAGATGAGGGGTGAGGGGAATCCCAGTGCCTATAACACTGTGTCACATAATGCAATGCAATTAATAAAAAAAATAAATAAAAATAACAGAAGACTAAATCAATGAACAACCAACCCATTGTTAAAATGACAGGACCAAATTACCACTCATTCATATCAACCCTGAATGTAAATGGCTTAAACTCATCAGTCAAACGTCACAGATTAGTAGACTAGAGTAAAAAACAAAACCCACCGGGCCCGGCGCGGTGGCGCAAGTGGTTAAGGTCCTCGCCTTGCACGCTCGGGATCCCATATGGGCGCCGGTTCTAATCCTAGCAGCCCCACTTCCCTTCCAGCTCCCTGCCTTTGGCCCGGGAAAGCAGTCGAGGACGGCCCAAAAGCTTTGGGACCCTGCACCCGCGTGGGAGACCCGGAAGAGGCTCCTGGCTTCGGACCGGCATAGCATCGGGCCGTTGCGCTCACTTGGGGAGTGAATCATCGGACGGAAGATCTTCCTCTCTGTCTCTCCTCTCTGTATATCCGCCTTTCCAATGAAAAAATAATAAAAATAAATCTTAAAAAAAAACCCATCTATTTGTTCCTACAGGAGACGCATCTCGCCAAGAAAGATCAATGGAAACTATATCTCATAGATTTTGATTTTTTAAATTTAGTTTCATGCCTTTAAAACACTTTCTTCTGATGAAATCTTCACTGACTCATAGACCATACTGTAGCATCATTTTCTTCAAGAAGGTTCTTGATTTTCATTTCTCCAGCAACACATTAGTCATTCAGTAGCATGTTATTTAACTTCATGGTGTTTGTAATTTCTTTTTTTCTTCCTGTTGTTCATTTTGTTGTGTGGCTTTTCATTTAAAAGGATGTACAGTAACTGTGTCATGGACACTATCATATCCAGTAGCATGTTATTTAATTTCATGGCATTGTAAATTTCTATTTTTCCTCCTGTTGTTGATTTTGTTTTCTCTTCATTCAAGGGAATGTATAGTAACTGTGTAACACAGACTAACATATCCAGATGTGAGGATACAATGCAATATACATCTCTACTTCCAGCTCAAAGATGGACTCCCAATAAAACTGTTTACTATATCTTGACAATAGGATGCTGGACTCTGCCATTGTCCATGCCCGCAATGATGGACATATGACTGTTTATGAAGAACTACACTATAGTTATAATATAGGGGAACTCGGTGGTGGGGGAAGGGGACTTGGGAAAGAGATAAGGGAAATCCCAGGGCCTATGGAACTGTATCATAAAATTATAGTAATATTAATATTAAAAAGAAGTAAAATAAAGTTAAGAAAAATAATACACCAACAGAAAAAAATACATGTCCTACAACACTAAATTGACTTTTAGATTCCATTTTTCCATAAACGTATACAGCATGTGGCTGGTTGGCTTGTGCTGGCTTTGGCTTTCATGGTCTTCCCAGGAGAATGCTCACAACGCAGCGTATCTGGGCTCCAAACTCATGTATGAGAGCGTGGCACCTAACGTCAGACAGTGAGAGGGACAAGCCTAAAGGGAGACAAGCAGGCCTGCCTGTATTTTGATGTAAAAATCAAAAATGGTTTATGTTTATGCCAATTTGTGTTTGTATGTGTTTACTTCCAAAATTCGGATTATTCAATGACTTATGTCCCAGAGTGTCAACAACTCAATACACGAGAACTTGAAAACGTTTGTGGGAGAATGTTGTTAAAAGATCAGTCGGGATGTGGGCATCTGGTGCAGAGGTTTAGCGACACCCAGCAGCCAGTGTGAGAGCCTCCATTCCTGGCCTGGTTCTGCTGCTGATTCTTTTTCCCATCGCTGCACACTCTGGAGGCCAGAGTTCAAGTACTTGAGTACCAGCCACTCAAGCACGACAGTTCAGACACCCCCACATCAAGGTGCCTACCTTTCATTTCTGACTGAAGCTCCTGACTGCAGATTTCTGCCAATCCAGGCCCTGGAGGGCACTGACAATGGCTCAGGAAACTGGAATGCTGCTACCCGAATGGGAGACCTGAACTGAATTCCTGGCTCCTGGCTTCAGTCTTGGTTCATCCTCAGCTCTTGTGAACATTTTGGGAGTAAACTAGTACATGAAATCAATCAATCTCTCCTCCCCCTTTCAAAGATCATTTATGGGAAAAATAAAGTTAGTTTGGTACAAACAAATTCCAAAATCCACAGGTAGGGGTCAGCATTATGACACAGTGGCTTAAGTCACAGCTTGCACTCCCAGAAACCCATATGGGCATGAGTTCATGTCCGGGCTGCTCTACTTTTGATCCAGTTGCATGCTTACGGGCAGGGAAAGCAGCAGAGGATGGCTCAAGTGCTTGGCACTATGCATCCACGTGGGAGATCCAGGAGAAGCTCCTGGTTCCTGGCTTCTAACCAATCCACCTCTGGCCATCTTGTCCAGCTGGGCAGGAAAGCAGCAGATGGAAGATCTCTCTGTCTCCCTCTTTCTAATGCTGCCTTTCAAATCAATCAATAAATCTTTATTAAAAACAACCCACATGTCGTTTTCCCATAATTCACAATTTGCACCCATCTTCTGAAGACACCATTGAATCTCCCCCTTGGCCTCTTGAAATCAGATGACCCGCCACAGGTTTCCAGGTGGCAGGTCCAGCCGGCAGCTCGTAAATGCTTAGCTGCATGTCCATGCTTGCCCTGTGTAAGAGGACAAGGGAAGAAACTTCCTCCGCAAATACCTCAGTCCTGCCGATCTCCGTATCACCAGATAGGCATCCACCGCATAGCAGAAGAGCCACCAGAAGCAGGCACTGTACAGCAGCTGGATCCACACCTGTAATGGGGAAGAGCCAGCATCAACGTTTCCACAAGAAAGACCAAAGACACTTCCGTCCGTGCAATGAGAGGATAGATCCCCTAACCTCAGGAAGCCACCCACAAAAGCCCCGGGGAGACACGTGGGTACAGGCTGTGGGACCCACGCAAGACTGTGTGGGTTTGTCCTCTAAAGCTCCTTTGGCTAAAGTACAGCAGACGGAGTTCTATGGCATGTTGTTGGAACTGACCTAAGAGGCTCTGCAGCAACTCTTTCAGGCTTTTTAAATTTACTTCTTTGATCTTTTATGTTTTTTTTTTTTTTTTGTTTAAATCATTTCTTCAAAAGGCAGAAAGACAGAAAAGGAAATCCCACGGAAAGGGAGCTCTGATCACTGGATTCCTCCCCAGTTACCTACAACAGCCAAGAGTCAGGAACTCCATTCAGGATTCCCAGTATGGGTGGCAGGTGCCCAGTCCCTGGAGCTGTCCGCAGTACCTCCTGGAGACTGCATTATCAGGAAGCTGGTGTTGGGAGCTCAAGTTGGGAACTGAACACGGGCACTGAAATGTGGGCTTTGGCTACCCAGCCAGAAGCCTGGCTGCAATGCAGAGTGCCCACTCCTGCAAGACCTCTTTTCAGGAAAACCAGCAACAGAGAAGGGGCAGGAAGGGATTTCCAGGTGTGAGAAGCAGCATGAGGTGCCTCACAAAAGTGAGTTGGGACAGATGCTCTAGTGGGGTGTTGGAGGAAAGCGAGTGACAGAAGCCCAGAGAAGAAGGGATTTAGGGCCGGTGCTGTGGCATAGCAAATTAAGCCACCACCTGGAATGCTGCATTTCATATGGTGCTGCTTTGAGTCTAGGCTGCTCCACTCCCAATTCAGCTTGCTGCAAATGAACCTGGAAAAGTAGCAAAGGATGATCCGAGTGCTTGGGTCCCTGCATCCATGTGGGAAACCTGGATGGAGCTCCTGGCGTAAGCTTAGTGCAGCCCTGGCTGTTACAGCCATGTGGGGAGTAAAACAGCAAATGCAAGATTCTCTCGCTGTCTCTCTCTTCTTTTCTCTTGCCCTTTATTAACTCTGCCTTTCAAATAAATAACTTTTTTTTAATTGACTCACTACAGCTGATCATCAGTGCAACGGCAGAGCGTAACACATGTGTGTGTCTATACATATATTTGTGCAAGATGCAAGAGGACTCCAAAAAGGTTTTCTTTTTCTGTCACTCTGCCTTTCAAATAAAAATTTAAAAGTAAACCTGTCCAATGTTTTTGCACCAAAGCTTATCTTTTTAATCCTGTTTCCAATGAACTGAGCATGTAATGTATCTAATAAGTATATGTCTACTTATAAATCCTTGATCTTGGGATTGGCATTACGGTAAAGCAGATAAAGCTATGGCCTGTGATGCTAGTCACGGCAGGGGCGGGACCTGAGAGGCTGTTTTTCCAACAGAAGCTGGTAACTGTTGCTGCTGTCTTGAGGGCACAGGTGCAGCAGGAGCAACAGGAGGGAGGAAAGGGCAGCGGAAGAGGATGTACTTACCGCGCTGCCCACACAGAAAGCAGAGGGCCAGACGCTTGTCCCATTCTCCACGGAGATGTTTTCAACGAAAGCCGGGAATCCCAACCACACGGTGGCCCGAATTATAATACCTGAGCGGGAATCAGAGGTTGTTAACTCAGACATGACACTGGTTTCTTCTGTCAAAACAGGCGGACACGTGGACAAATACACACAGGGCAGATGCACCAGCAACCCCAGCCATTTGGGTCGTAACTTACACCAAACTTAAGTAGCTACCCTCTCAACCCTAACTTTTGCTTACTTACTTGACATCACGAACAGACCATACAAATAGGAACCTGCATTTCTGACCTGGGTAATATATATATATATATATGTATATTTATTTATTTGTTTGTTTGTTTGTTTGTTTTTATATTTAGAGGCAGAGAGAGATCGGAATGCTAAACACCTGTTCCTCTCAGCTGGACTTGTAATGTCTGTGTTTATTACCCACCACAAACACAAAGAAGTTTTACAAGCAGAATGGGGCGGGGGGACGAGGGGTTGTGGACAAGGGGTTAAGCTAGCCGATCGTCAGCTAAGCTGCCCACATTCCACATGGAGTGCTTGAGACCCTGAGAGTCCGTGACGTCACCACCCACATGAGAGTCCCGGAAGGAGCTCCCGCCTCCTGGCCTTGACTCCAGCTCTGGTAGGCATTTGGCCGAGTCAGCCAATGTACGGGATCTCCGTCTCCCTTTCTTCCTCTCTCTCCCTCTTTCCCTCTCAAAAATATTTTCAAGTCCAATTCTGAAGTTTCAACAGACGGTTGCCTTTCATTTCAAAAGCTAAATTTAAGACTTTTACAAATCGCCCTCCGATCATTTGCTTTTTGATTTCTTTTTTCTTTTTTTGTATTTCCCTTGCTTTTAGACCCAAATATCTACACTGCTCAAACCTATACTAAGGTAACATACTGCTAAATGCGTACCCGCTATGTCACACACGGCTAACATATATCCACTATATAACAGGCTGCTAAAAACACTGCGTAGTACACTGCTAAATAGACTCTATTTAAGACACGAAGGTCACACTTGTGATGCAACACACTACTAAACACACAGGCACTGTGTGACAGGTATACACACACAAAACACACTACATAAAACATCACTAAACACATATTTGCACTGTGTAACACCTAAACATACATACCTACATACGTGCTGCTAACACATTATGCAGCACGCTATTAAACACACATGCACCTGTCATACACTGCTAAACAAACACATACACCATGCAATAACCTCTGAGAGGAGACTTGTGGACACTAAAAAGCTTCAAGCATTGTCTCCCCCCTACCAAGATCCTGCTCATTTTGGTTTCCCCTTTAGAGCTTTATGGTGGCTGGCATACAGCACTGCTTTGAGTTCAATGAAAATCCTTTGGGGTGGGCATTCCTTTCTTACTTTGCAGTTAAGAATCCAGTTATCCTGGACTAGTCTGCTGTACATACTGGCGAACACAGGAATCAGGGTAGGAGGCAGGCCTGGTGGAGGTTATTGGGAATCACCCCGACTAAGCTGCAGCTCTCACTGCTTTGCATGAGGGCCAAGTGTGTGCTGGGCAGAACCAGGCTTGATTGCAACACTCATTGGTTCGTGTGCAAGACAGGGCTGGAAACAGAAACGACCTAGCAAATGCAACCACCAGCATGTGCATAAGCTGATCGGGGCGACGGACTGTGTTGGACCCTGTGCTGGCAAGCACACACAAGAATCAGGTCTGGGATCACCTCAGATGAAGTTTCTTTTGAGGGATCCCTCCAACTGAACTGCTGATCTCAGCACCCCAACCATGATGAGACTATGTCAGCCAGTGGATTCTGAAAAGATTTCATCGTGCTTGGAACGGCGAGACTGGCAGCAATTCAGAACTGATGAATTCTCAAAACTGCACGAGCAGTGCCCTCGGAGCATGCCCCACGCCGGGAACCTGGGATGGGTGGGAGGTTAGGTGAGGCTTTCCCCTCTGTCTCTCCCCTTACCCTGGATACACTTTCCTGTAGCCCTTAACCCTATGTGTCGTAATCAACTGTGCAAAGATTATCAATCTAAAAGAATTTTTTTAAAAAACAGTCCATGCATCAGCCAACCTTCTCCCGGTGTGGGATACAGCCCACAGTATCACCTCTTCCCCTTCCACAGACCGAAGCATATACAAGTGTTTTTACTAACCCTGAAAATGTGGTCGAGCCCATCTTTAGTTCCAGTTACTCAGGTAACAGAAACCATCAAGGTGGTTTTCCACAGTGATGTAGTGGAGTCAGGAAGAAAAACCATGTCTGATTGAACTACCCAGATCCAAAAATGATTTTATCCGTAACAGGGAGGAGATACTACTTCCATGTCATATTCATTCTTGACGTCTGAGAAAGTGACTGGAGATCAGAGGAAACCGTGGGACGTCAATCGTGTCCGGTGATGTTTTTGTCACTCTGAACATGAGCATCCAGTGAGGAGCGGGCTTAGCTGAAGTTGGTGAGGGACATGGGGGCATCCGTTACACTCACTTAGAAGGGCAAAGTGCCCATATCTGCATGTGACATACACTGGAAATTGTACAACGGAAAATGTCAAAATGGCCAGATCCAGAGTTAGAGTCTGGATCAAAGCTTGGCAAGCTGGCTCTGCAGAGGGCCACACGGTGGACACTTCTTTGTCTCGAAGCATTCTCCTTTCTCTACCAAATATTCTGCTCTTCCTTATAAGACCAAGGCAGCCCCAGATGAGGGGCAAATGAACTCACGTTCCCAGAAAGGTCAATTCAGGAACACATGGACATTTGCGGTAGCATCCAAACACCAGCAATAATTCTTTAGAGTTGTAAAACATATTGAAAATGTAGGGTCCAACGCCATGGCTTAGTGGCTAAAGTCCTCGCCTTGCACGCGCCCGGATCCCATACAGGCGCCGGTTCTAATCCCGGCAGTTCCACTTCCCATCCAGCTCCCTGCTTGTGGCCTGGGTAAGCAGTCGAGGACAGCCCAAAGCCTTGGGACCCTGCATGCGTGTGGGATACCGGTAACAAGTTCCTGGCTCCTGGCTTTGGATCGGCACAGCACCAGCCATTGCGCTCACTTGGGGAGTGAATCATCGAATGGAAAATCTTCCTCTCTGCCTCTCCTCCTCTCTGTATATCTGACTTTGTCATGAAAATAAATCTGTAAAAAAAAAAAAAAAAAGAAAACGAAAGAAAATTTAAGTCCATTCTTACGTGTCATGGCCATGAACACTGCAGGATGAACACCTTTGGTGAAAAACCAGCTCTGGAAAGTCTGGACTGGGAAGTGGTCGCAGATTAGAAAATATACGCCAACAGAGACTATATGGCGCAGAACAGAACACACATGCACTCTGAGGGTGTTCACGGTCTCATGGCGGACCGGTTATGGAGAATCCCTTCCGCGCTGCAGGTTTTGCTTAACTGGACTGTGCGAAGTTTCCCTTGTAACCACTAATAAGCACACTGCAGTGGGTTTTGAGAGCCCTAAGATCCCTAACACGCTTTTACCAACCGTCACGATTAGCAGAGCTCCGTAGCCCTTCCGCCTGTCGCGGGCAGACGCCCCGCACCTGCCGGGTGCAGTCTAGACAGCGAGCAGGTCCCAATCCACAGCTGCGCGCCTTAACCTGGCCACGCTGGCCCGCACAGCCTCACCCAGACACCGGTCACGTCTCAACGTGCAGGCCGTGCGGGCTCGCGCTGGCACCGACCGACCGACCGAGCCGCCCCAGTCGCCCTTACCCAAGCAACCAAGCACATCGCAGGCTGTCACAGCGCGCAGGATGCTGACAGAGGCCGACGGGGAGGTCGAATGGGCCACAGGACCGACAGACCGGCGCCTGGGCAGCCACTGCAGGAGACCGAGGGCCAGGCGGAGCGCGCCACTGCCCAGGCACAGCGCGTGGAAGGCCCGCGGCTGGAAGCTCAGCACGAGCTGCGTGGCCGCGTCCCGCGTGGGGCAGCAGAAAGTCCCCAGGCGCGGTGAGGCCATGGGCCGTGCTGGGGGACGCGGTTCCCGTCTGCCAGGACCCCGCCTGGCCGGTCCAGGTCATGTGCTGGGCGCGCTCGAGGGGGAGCGCATCATGTGCCCTGAGCCTCGCCCCTACCTAAACCCCCGCGCGCCTGCAGAAAGCGCCGGGCTGGGCGGGGGCTGCGTGCCTTTGACCACCGGGCCGTGAGGCCTCACGAGGCCACTGGGAGGGGAGGAGGAGGGGTCCAGAAGAAGCACAAGATCGTTAGGGCAGCTTGCTCCATTTCCCATGCCTCCCCAGGGCCCGAGTCTCCCCTGCCGTTTCCTCTTAAGTGATTTCCCTAAGCTTCAATTGGGGACTTTGGCAACAGTATTGTGTCGGAACGCATTCCTGACCGTGGCAATGCGGTTCTCTTCTCCAGTGGATGTGTAAATGAGGGTTTTCTTAGGTCTTTGTCAGCCAAGAAACCATCTTGGGGAAGTAGGATTTTCCTTTGAAATGAACGACAGATTTATGAAACTGCTTAGCATAACCACAAGACACACCCTTTTCACCTTTTCCTTTTATATTTATTTCCTAACAATTTCCTCCCCCAAAGAAATCCAGAACACATACCTCTGTGGGAGGCTGACCTTGACAGCAGGTGCCAGAGACAGTCAGGGCCGTTTGAGCAGCAGCGCATCAAACAGACTGAAGCTAGCCCGGCAAGGTAGCCTAGTGGCTAAAGTCCCATAAGGGCGCCACAGCCCCTAAGCCTTGGGACCCTGCACCCGTGCAGGAGACCTGGAAGAAGCTCCTGACTCCTGCCTGATCTTGCCATTGTGGTCACTTGGGGAGTTTAACCAGCAGATGGAAGATCTTCCTCTGTCTCTCCTTCTCTTTGTAAATCTGACTTTCCAAAATAATAATAATAATAATGAATGATACATCTGATTTTTTAAAAAAGATAAGTGCATTTTAGTGAAAAACTGAAATTGACATTTTTTTCATCATGTGTGTATTTTCCAAGTTTTTTAAATCCCTTTGTGCCTTTGCCCCCTTTGTTTTTCCTCTCTCTCCTCCGGTGTAACACCCAGATTCCTTCGCCAGTTTCAGTCCAGGACTTCCCAGGCCACATGTTCCCTGGAAATGGCTTTCCCTCTGCTCCGCCACTCGCAACGTGCCTGCCCTTCCCCATGGCGCATACGCACCTTCCACCGCAAGAGGCTCCATGTGTTTCTCCAAGCTTTTGCTCTGCTTTTTTTTTTCTTCCTTTCTCCCTTCCCTCAATCTTTCCGTCTCTTTCTCCTCTCTCTGCTATTACTTTTTTAAAAAAAAAAACTTTTGAGTCAGAACAAATGTTCTGTTGGCACCAAATTGATCACAGACTTAGGAAGTGTGTCTGTGGGGGTGGGAGCAGATAAGGACTGTGTATGGTTTGTAATTCAACTACTATGTAAAAGTCCCTGAAATGACATCAAGCCTGAGAACAATGCTGCCCTTTTCAAACCTCAATGTGCATTCTTGCAGATCTTGTTAAAAGACAGATTCCTACCCCGGGGTGAGTGAACTGGGTCTTGTGCTGGAAATGCATTTTTTAACAAACTGCCTGGGGGCATGCCTGCACAAAGGTTTGTTTCTCCCCACCCCACCCTCCGACCCCTTGAAAAACAAAGAAACCTTTCAGGTCGTATGTGAATTTTGAGATGACTTCGTTCAACATGCATATAGGAAAAAACAAAACAAAACAAAACGGGTCAGCCTGCACTAAGCCAAGGAAGAACGCAGTAAGTACGAAGGATGAGTCAAGGGCGGCAGGAGCAGTCCAGCGTGGATGAGCAGCCTCCTTCTCCCTGGGTTCTGAGAGGCCGCAGGGAGGGGGCGATGTGTGGAAGCAGCTTGGCTCTGAATCCTGGATGCTGGGAGGAACATGAAGCAAACGGAAGAGGAGGACAACAGACAAGGACCGGGAGCAGCAAGCAAAAGTGATTTTGTGTTGAGACACAGAGTATCCTGAAAACTTTCTTGGTTTGAAACTTCAAAGAGAACTTCGCCTCCTCCTCCTCCCGCCCTTCCACACTCCGCACTCCACAGAGGAGCCGGGCATGGGGACAAGCTCCTGCTTACATCTCTTTTTGTGCCGTCATCAACCTCAAGTACAGATATGCTTTTACTACAATGCTGCCTTATAGTACACCGTTTCCAGATGCAGCCATTTAGCCTGCTGGCCACGTTGCCAGTGGCAACCAGAATGCCTGGGTTCAATGTCTGACCTCGGGTTCTGATGCCAGCTCTGCTGCTGATGCGGAGCCCGCAGGCAGCAAGCAGTGGTTCTTCACCCAATTGGGCCTCTGCTGCCCACGTAGAGGGCCCGGATGGGGCTCCAGTCCCACAGTGCCACCCGCTTCTCCCATCGCAACTGTCCAGGGCATGTTGGGGAGTGAATCAGTGGGGTGGGAGTGTTTGTCTACCTTGTTCTCTCGGTCTGTCTGCCTCTCAAATCAATCAGTAACAGCAAAATTAAATAAAACACACATTGGCTGAAAAGTCAACCAGTCAGTTGCGAGCTGTAAGATAAAGCTCAGATGGAAAGAAAAACAGAACTGGCTTTGTAGTGATCAGTTTCCAGTTTGTAGGCCAGTATGCTAGCTAGTCTGATACAGCCCAATGTCATGATTTCAGTACAGCATAAAACGGAAAATACAGGGCCCAGCGCGATAGCATAGTGATTAGGGTCCTTGCCTTGCACGCGCCCGGATCCCATACGGTCGCCGGTTCTAACCCTTGCAGCTCCACTTCCCACCCAGCTCGCTGTTTATGGCCTGGGAAAGCATTGGAGGACGGCCCAAAAGCCTTGGGACCCTGCACCTGCGTGGGAGACCCAGAAGAAACTCCTGGCTCCTGGCTTCGGATTGGCTCAGCTCCAGCCATTGCGACCACTTGGGGAGTGAACCATCGGATGAAAGATCTTCTCTCCCCTTCCTCCTCTCTATATACTGACTTTGCAATAAAAATAAATAAAAATTTTTTTTAAAAAAAGTTAGTTTCCAATGCACAGAAAGTTGTTCACTGAGTTGATTAAACTGCATTGTATTACAGTAACAAAAAAGAAAATGCATCCAAAAAGGATCTGTTTCAGATCATTAGGGACCTGCACTGTGGAATAGAGTGTAGCTGCTGCCTGGAATGCCAGCATTCCAGAAGGACCCATGTTGAAGTTGCAGAGTTTCACTCCTGATTCAGCTCTCTGCTAACGCACCTGCAAAAGCAGAGGTTGGTGCAGGTGGCTGGGTCATCTTCCCACCGAAGCAGGAAACCCTAAAGAAGCTCCTGGCTCTTGCTTCAGTCTGGCCCAGCCCCCGCCCTCATAGCTGTTTTGTAGTGAACATGTAGACAGATTTCTCTCTTTACATAACTCTGTTTTTCAAATGAGTACTTTTTTTTTTTAAGTAATTAGATATTAGCTGAGAACAGTTCAAAGAGTTGAGGACATTGGGAGTGGTATCATTAACACCTTAAAAACAAGGCAAATGATTTTAAGTGATTTTTCCTTATTTTTGATGACCTGGCCAATTTTACCAATACTGCTCATTGAGTTTGTTTATTTGGAGGATAATAATGAGTTTGAAGTGATTTAAGAAAGAGTCTCTCGTGGAGGGAGGCCCACTAATGGCTTTTGGCATCGGTAAGCAGCCATCCAACCCATGTTGGCTTCAGACACATTAGAAATCTCAGGTTTCAGGGGCTAGAACCTGTGGACATGTGGTCTGGCCTCAGTGCAAACGCTGCATGATTAGCCCATCTAATCAGTGGGTGATTAGCACACTGGTGGGTGCTGTGGCCTAGTTGGGGTAACCCCCAATAACCACCACCAGGCCTGTCCCCAGCCCTGGTTTTTGCACATGCTTGTTGGTGCAGCACCTTAGCCTGGCTCTTGTGCATACCCAGGATGTTGCAGCCTAGCACCCAGACCTGGCCAATACACCTGCTAATGGGTGCTGTGTTGCTGCCTAGCCTGATATGGCTTGCCTCCAGGCCCTGTACTTGACTGTGGCTGCTGTGACCTAGCCCAGTGAGCCTGCATTCATTCCTGCTTCTCACCAGTGGGTTCTATAGCCTAGCCATGCCTAGCCTTCCCCCAGCCCTGACTCTCATGTTTACTGGCAGGTGCTGCAGTTTAGTCTGGTCTGTTTTATACCCCTCCTGGCTCTTGGCACACACCAGTGGGTGCTGTGCATCCCTGCCTGGCCTGATCCAACCCTAGTCCCAGCTTTCACATTCACCAACATGAGCAGTAACCTAGCAGAGGATTCCCCAAAGTTTCCCTACCAGGTCTGCTCCCAGTCTCAGATCTTATGCATGTCAGCAGGTGCTGTAGCCCAGCCTGACCTGCCCCTAGCCTCAGCTCTTATGTGAACCAGCAGGTATGATGGCTGAGCCTACCCCAGCCTGCCCCATCCCCAAGACCGGGTCCACATGTATGCCAAGGGATGCTGCAGCCCCACCTGGCCCAGCCCAGTCTGCCTTTAGCCCTGGCTCTTGTGCTCACCAGTGGAAGCCAAGGCCTGGCAGAAGAGTCCCCAAAGTTCTTCCACACCCACTCACAGCTCCAGATTTTGTGTGTGCTAGCAATTGCTACAGTCTAGCCTGACATGATCTATACTCAGTTCCAGACTTGGCATGTACTGGCAGGTGCTGTGATCAAGCTTGACTGGCCAATACTCATTGCCAGCTTGTTTCTGGAAGATGCTACAGCCTAGTCTTGCATGGCTCACCAGCAGACCCAGCTGTCATGTAAACTGCCCAATGCCCAATGCTGCAGCCTAGCCCAGCCTGTCCCGCATCCATCCTAACTCTCATGCATGCCAGCAGATACTGGGGCCTAGCCTCGCCTTCCCCCAGACCCAGTCCACACATAGGTCAATGGATGCTGCAGCCCTGGCCTATCACCAGCCCCAGCTCTCGTGCTCATCTTGGGAGCTTCAGCCTAGCAGGAGAGTCCCCAAGTTCCCCTAATTGGCCCACTCCCAGCCCCAGATCTCACATATGCTTGTGGTTGCCATGGCCCAATCTCATGTGG